CGGCCTCTCCCGGGTACCCAACCCAAAGAATGCTCGAAATCCGATCATCGTCCTTCGCAAACGATATATCAAAAGCCCCGCCGGACATAATCACGAGGATCACCGGACCTTTGGCCGCCTTCGCGACTTCCGTTATGAGCTGAGTCTGCTGCCCGGGGAGCAATAGACTGACCCGGTCGAAGCTCTCCCTCTCGATCGATTGGTCGGCACCCACAACAAGGATCGTGGCGTCGCGGAGGCTGCTGCAGACTTCGGCGGGGTCGAGTTGGAGGCTGTTTCCGGGCAGCCGACAGTTGAGGCAGCCGGATGGTATACGGTTGAGACCGACGCGGCTAGGCCTTGTAAGGGGCTCGTGTACTTGCACGGAGTTCCTAAAGAATAAAAGGTAAAATTATTATGTACTTGAGATGTTTACATCTATCTAGAAATACTTTAGACCATCAATAATTGATAATTTGATATGTTCTCTGTGACTTTCTTTTTTGTGCCTTTTCGTCTTTACCATCGCTGGTGTGTCGCTAATATAGTACGCACGATATATATGAAAATTTAATTTTAAAAAAATGTTGACTAGAATACCATACCTTCATAGTTCCCGATCATGGTCTTGGTCACGTTTGCGTTCGGACCAATCACAGCCAAATTCTTGATAGACTTGGGATTGAGAGGCAGTGATCCTTTGTTGTTCTTGAGGAGCACAATACCCTGCCTTGCGGCTTCACGGGCCAGCTCCTGGTTATCCGATGTGCACACATCTTTCGGGCCGAGCCCACCATAGGAAAGCTTTCTCGGATCACCGTCGAAAAAGCCCAATCTCATTAGGACGGCGAAGTTGTTGGTGATGGCCTTGTCGATGTCGGACTCCTTCAGTTTACCACCGGAGACGGCCCCTTGTGTGTGATCACCAAGGAAAGTTCCGCAGTTTAGATCAAGACCTGCAAAGAGATTTCGAAATGTTAGCCTTGTTGTTCGTGGGCCTAGTAAATGGGCTAAGATGTTGATCGTGGCCCATAAATTATGTGAATCATTTTAGGCTATGTTTGTGAAATCAGGTCATTGAGAAAATTATTGTTGAAATTTAAGAGAGGGAGGGAAGAAAAGAAAAAAAAAGACTTGCCTGCTTTGATGGTTATAGCCGCTGCTTCCTCTGGGGTTTTTGTGTAATGCTGATCCTTGTAGAGCACATCCACCGAATCGCAATCCGATACGATGTAACTGCAATTATACACTTTATATTATCAGAGGGGATTTTTTTTTACAACTGGATTCTTAATTTTCAATAGTAATATTCATCATGTTTCCTAAAATTATCAATTTTTTACTTTTATATTTATTCTAGACATTCTTACTTTTTTTATATAGGGTAGATATGTGTAATATGTAAATAGGTACATGCATTTATCTTTGTTACAAATAGTAAATCTTTGAAATATCCCATTCACTGGTTCAACACACCCCCTGCGTGACCCGTGTGAAAATTGGTATTTAGTACTGTATTAGATGGTTTCCTGGTAAAATCTCAAAGTTAAAAGGATTTTCTGATAACCCCTAAACTTAAAAGCATGGTTTCTGATGTCTTGAAAGTTTCGGAGGCTATCCGATAATCGTCCAAAGTTAAAGAGGGGTTTAGGATATTTTAGCTTTGATAATATATAACTTTAATTGTTTTGTATACTAATTAAAAGAATTTGAAATATGAAAGTGGGAGGGAGAAGAGTGACCCGTTAAGCTTCCAATCTCCTCTAATGGTTCCAGCAAGCAGATCAGGGTCAGCACAAGTAGGGACCCCGTTCACTTGATTATAGGAGCACATCACACTCGCCACGTTTCCATCGATCACACAGTTCTTAAACGGAGGTTGAAATGTATCGTCCATATCTTGCTTCGTCACCTACGAAAACAAATCAATTAAATTGTGCAAACTAAATTTAGGTCCCCATTACCTACAGCTCTAATTAATTACGCATTAACAATGACGCTGCTGGCTTCAACAACAAACGCGTCTTTTAATTTTTTTTTTAATTTTTTTTTTAAGTAGAAAACGGTGCTTAATTACGAGCTAGGTCCGTGTCTTGAATGTGACTTATGTGTCGATTCATGCGAGAATATCTTGAATTTATGCTAATAATAATATATATATATGTTTAATCATGACAAATTGCATGAGGCTTTGTCTCATTCGTCGGCACGATATTGGGGGGGGGTGGGGGTGTATAAAAAATCATTAAAAAGAAAGTGGTCCGGAGATCAATTGGTGCAATTCTGCCTCAAAATCAGTATCTAATGATAATATAACGATGCACGTCGGATTAAACGAGAACATAAGAGAACATCAAAAAAGATAATCCAGGAGG